TACTGACTGCTTACATCTGTATATAAGCACTGAAGGTCTTGTATCTGTGTCTCCTCCTCCTCGAACTCTCAGGAAACTCATTACCCACCACAGGCTCCTGCAAAGGGACGGGGCTGTTCAGACTAAAGAGACAAGACTATTAATGAACAGCCATCCTTTTATATAAATGTTTCCTGGCAAAGATGACTTCCAACTCTGGCCATCTTTCAACCTACTGGGTGGCTTGACCCAGAAACCCATGTACACACATCTATCTGTTTATAAACACACAACACAACTAAATACAAGGCACTCTGCATTCTCTAACTCGTTAAAGTCCCACGTCACTTATGAAGTTGGAAGGGGAGAGGGGCTTGCTCTAAGCCTTTGATGATTCAACCACACCCACCTCACATAGAGTTCTTGGCCCCTGCGATGGCTGCTCTTGGTTGTCAACTTGACTACATCTGGAATTAACTAAAACCCAAGGGACTGGGTACACCTGTGAGGGATTTTCTTTTTTCTTAACTAAATCAATAGAAATGGGAAGACCCACTCTTAATCTAGATCTTCTGAGGTGAGAAGATGTACCTTTAATCCAGATCTTTTGAGGTGGGAAGATCCAGCCTTATCTGGGTCACACTTTCTTGTGGCAGCTTATATAAGGACGTGGAAGAAGGAACTTGGACTCAGCCTGCTTGCTCTCACTGGCGAGTCTATTCCTTCACTGGCATCAGAGTCTACTTCTTTGAGATTCTGGCATATACTAAAGACCAGCTGAGACAACCAGCTTCATAAACTGAACAACTACTATATTCTTGAACCTTCTGTTCACAGATAGCCATTGTTGGGCTAGCTGGGCCACGGTCTGTAAGCCATTTGAATAAATCCCTATAGATAAGATAGATAGATAGATAGATAGATAGATAGATAGATAGATGATAGATAGATGTGTGTGTATATGTAAAGGATTTATTAGAATATACATGTATTATATGTATACACACACACACACATACACACACGTGCATATGTATTCTGTGCCTCTAGAACAGTGGTTCTCAACCTGTAGGTCATGACCCTTTTGGGAGCCATATATCAGATATCTTACATATCAGATATTTACATTACGATTCATAACAGTAGAAAATGACAGTTATGAAGTAGCAATGAAATCATTTTATGGGTGGGGGTCAGCACAGTGTTGCAGCATTGGGAAAGCTGAGAACCACTGATCTGGAGAACCCTAACCACAACATCGCTTCTCTTAGCTTTTGCTTTTCTTCATTTTTTTTTTTATAGTTCATAAAGTACAGATACAGAGAGTATTTCTTGCTTGCTTCTAATTCTAAGGCATTTCAATTATTCCAGAAATGCAAAACACGGGCGTCTCTGATGCAGATTAAAAGAGAAGTCAAGGGCTGGCTGGCAGACACCAGTGAGGGTAGAGTGACAGGTGATTAATAAAGGCCGGGCAAAGGAAACAGAATTTTGAAGATGGAAACTGTTCAACTGAAGCCTCAACCAGAGGCCTCTGTAGGGCCTGTTAATGAAACACCAGAAGCAAGCAGCTAAGACATCGGTGAGAAAAGCCAATTCTGAGCGAACCGAGGAGGGAGAATCTCAGGCTAGCTTTTCTCTACTCAGAGTGCAGTCTTTGGAAGACATGTAAAAAAATAAGTCATATAAACTGGTACTATTGTAAACCCAGTGTGCTCAACCAGGGAAGACTGCTGTTAGCATTTTGATGTTTGGACTGTGTAAGGTTGAGGTAGGAGAATCCCTGAAGCCTCAGAGTTCTAGGCTCTCATGACAAGGCTCAGAGCTCAAAAATTAATAATAATAATAATAAAAGAAGTGTTAGAGGTGTGTGTCTATAACTTGAGATACAGCCCCGATTATTCCTCCCCAAGTCCAGTGCATGAACAGATAAAAGCATCTTTACAGTCTTCCCCACACATCTGTTAAACTGCTCTTCGCAATCACAACACTAGCTTTAAAATAAAACCTAAAGTAAACAAATCGAAATATAAATAAAGCAAGTGAATTGCTTGCCACTTTCAGTGTGACTAGATGGGGTTTAAACAAGAGGGTTAAATTTCTTAGGAAACAAATAGTGAACCGTGGCAAAGTAAGGAGGTGACCAGTCAATCAAGTAGCCACTAGTCTGGTTTGGCAGGGGTGGTTTCAGTCTGCGGGGGCTGCTCCCACGCTGGGGTGCTGATGCTGAGTTTTGATCACACTCAACTAAAGTCTATACCCTGATTACAAGTCATTGGCTTTAGAATCCTATGCAAATTACCTTTCGATCTAGGAATACAGCCCTAAGGGCCACAGTAAGGGACATTTCTGAAAAATCTAACACATTTCAGACCAAAAGCACAAATGTTTACCAAGTCATTTAAAATGCTATTTTGATATTAAAACACATCAGATATAAAAGATGGAGGCAGGGGCTGGAGAGATGGCTCAGCAGTAAAAAGCATTTGCTTTCTTACAAAGGACCTCCTGTAATTCCAGTTCCAGCAGGCACCTGTATGAATGTGGTGAACACACAGACAAGCAGGCACAAACATACACACATAAATAAAAAATAGTTTTGTAAAGGTCGAGGGGAAAATGAAGGAATTTTTTAGCTTAAAAATTCTAAAAGGTGGGGCCGGAGAGATGATTCAGCAGTTACGAGCACTGGCTGCTCTTCCAGAGGACCTGAGTTCATTCGCAGCACCCACATGGTGGATCATAACTGTCTGTAGCTCCAATTCCAGGGGATCTGGCACCTTCACAGATATATATGCAGGCAGAACACCAGTGCACATAAAAGAATAAATAAATCTTTAAAAAATATACTAAAAGGCATGAAGCAAAAGGAAGAAGAAGAAGGAAGAGGAGGAAGAAGAGAAGGAGAAGAAGAAATAATAATAATGCTGAGGTGTAGTCCACACAGTAGAGGTTTATTTAATACAGTGGGACCTTGACTAGAGGTAACAGAATGCGGTCAGAAAGAAGAAGCTGCAGCGTGGACGTAAACTAAACCCACAGGCAGGAGAAGACAGTAAATAAAGAAACGACGGTTGGAGGCTACCAAGCAGGAGCTTATCTCTCTTTTGCCTACGCCATTATTGAGCCACCTCCACCAGAGAGAACACATCTGGGAAGGGAAACCCAGGTGGAAAGGTTCTCAACGGCAGCCCAAACTGACCATCCGAACACATGGGTGCTTCTCCCATGATAACCACTTGAGGAATACTGCCTGTGTGATGTTTCTCTGTCAGTGGCACACAGGAACAAGCAAAGAGAGATCTCTCAAGACAGTGCACCTCTAACACCATCCAATCAGCCAGTGACAACGAACACACGACCAAACATCACTACCACAAACAGCAACAAATGAAATCTGAAAAAGCACAGTATAGCTGACCCCTGAGCAATACAGACTTCAAATGCTAAGGGCTACTTATATAAGGATTTCTTTTTTTTTTTTTTTCTTCCTTTGTTTATTCCTTTACGGAGATTTCTTTTGAAAAAAAAAAAGATAATATAGATGACGAATTTATGTTTCATTCAAACACAAAAAGTTAGAATTCTGCCTTTTTAAAACGATGTTGATATCTGTGTGTGTGCATCATGGGACGCACAGAGACTGGTGTGAGTTCTGGGGCCCTGTCAGGCTCTGACAAAGCACTGTAATCCCTTGAGTCACCCTGCCCCCAACACACATAATTCTGACACTTCACTAAAACCCACCCTCTGCTTTCATTTCTCTGAAACATGGCACCTGGTCCTAAGTGTGTCTCTGCTATGGCAGTATTAACACAGGGGAGAAGCAGAGCAGCTTAAAACTGGACTCTAAATTTGGATGAATACCTTCCCTGTTGCCCTCTATAAAGGGCAACATCTGTGTGAATATGGTGCACAGACAGACAGGCGGGCACAAACACACACACCTAACCCAATGACTGGATAAGTAAAACCCACAAGCAGCAAAATCAAAGAGTTACAAATGGCAGCCTATGGAAAGGGGGGGGGGGGGGACAGAAATGAAAAGCAAGTAACAGCAATAAAATTTTTCTTTTTTTTTTTTTTTTTTTTTTTTTTTGGTTTTTCGAGACAGGGTTTCTCTGTGTAGCTTTGCGCCTTTCCTGGAACTCACTTGGTAGTCCAGGCTGGCCTCGAACTCACAGAGATCCGCCTGGCTCTGCCTCCCGAGTGCTGGGATTAAAGGCGTGCACCACCACCGCCCAGCAAATTTTTCTTTTTTTAATTAATTTTTTTTCATTGGTGTTTTGCCATGAGTGTTGTCCCCTGGAATGGGAGTTACAGACAGTTTTGAGCTGCCATGTGGGTGCTGGGAATTGAACCTGGTTCCTCTGGAAGAGCAGTCGTGTTCTTAACCTCTGAGCCATCTCTCCAGCCTCATAAGTTTTGTTTTAGTTTGGTTTGGTTTTTTGTTTTTTTGAGACAGGGTTTCTCTGTGTAGCTTTGTGCCTTTCCTGGAACTCACTCTGTAGCCCAGGCTAACCTCAAACTCAGAGATCCACCTGCCTCTGCCCCTCCCAAGTGCTGGGATTAAAGGTGTGCGTCACCACCGCCCCAGGCTATCCATTTCTAAGTAGCTGAGCCTGACTAAGGAACAATTTGATCACAGCAAAAATCATCTGGTAAAGAATGCAGTTGGTAAGAAGGCTAAACTTGACCGGGCCTAGTAAAAGCAATTACATTTATTTTCTAACTAAAAACATAGTCATCTCCAATCACATCTTTACTAATATGGAAAGCATTTTTAAAGGATTTTTTTTAATGTCAATATCATTGTTCTGAACCGTTTTCTCTCTTTAAAAAACACTAACAAGAAGTGAGGTCAGCTTATCCATCTGAAAAGTGGGGGCACAGCTCATATATCTGGAGCCGACTGCTACAACAGAGGCTTATGCAAAGTTCCTGAAACATTCATTCACTTAGAACTGTTTAAACATCCTAATTTCAAAATAAAGATTTTCAAATAATAAGAAAATACTTACATCTCAATTTGTCCAGCATTTTTCCACCACACATGGTTGCTAACATAGCTTTAACTGAAAATACGGTCAACTTGCCTCGGCCCTCACTGCAAAATAAACATTAGAAATAATTGCTATCTGGAACCACAAAAACAGTCAAACGTATCTCTATACACTGAGCAACTAAGACATTGATTCCTGCCCTTGCATGCTTTAATTTTACCACATTTATAAACTCTGGTTTCTCAGCCTCTGTAGAACTAAGGTTCCTCTACAATTGGCAGAGACAGCGAAAGTTGAGGGGGTCATCTGAAGGTGAATTTTACAAACAGTTTGTAATCTCTGCTGATCTGTAGGAAGAAACCAAGTGGACAAGCCGTAATGGACTTTCCTATTAACAAGACATTAAATCCATAGCCGGAGTGGTAGTAAGTGGTCAAAATTGAAAGAGCACCCGGTTTGAATATAATTTTAAGAAATGCCCCAACATCAGGATAACAGTAGTTTATCACACTAAACACCAGATGTACGCCGCTATGAAGATTTTATAGATTTTATAGCATGTTCTTCTTTGTTTTTCTTGTAATGATCTTTATGTAACAACGTTAAGTGTTTATTCTGAGAAGCTCCATCACGGCTCTGTCAAATCTCCCATTCACCACTGTGAGCAAGTGAAGGGGAATAGTAACTCTGGTTCTTCAGGACTGGAAAGATGAAAAGAACCTAAGAAAGGCTGTGTAACATCACCAGAGCGTCGTCCCTTTAGTCACACCGGCTTTCACTGCAGATGAAAACCTTCACTAGCTGGTTAACGGCGGGCCTTTGTGGATATTATAAAGTCTGTGATCGCGAGGCTTCACAGAAACTTAGAGCAAAACACCTTTGCAGTGAGGAGAGATTACCATGGGTTTTGAAAAAGCAAATGCCCATTATATTCTACAGAGAATGTTTCCCAGGCTGGGGATACAGCTCAGTGTAGAGCGAGTCCTAGCCTGCCTGTAGCCCTGATTTGATCTCAATACAGGAAATACCCCCCCCCCACACACACACACACACAAAAAAACCTCCACAGTGCTCCCCGCTTCCCGACCTTCCTTGTATTTGAAAGGATCACATCTGAGAAGAACATGGTCTGTAAGTCATTTTTTATTACAGCTGAGTTTTTAACTATGGTACCACACAGAGTTTATTCAAAAAACAAGAAACCCTGTAACTATCTAAAACAAGGAAAGGGTTTTTAGAAATATACAATTCTTCAGAAATAAAGACACTGTTCTATATGTAAGGCAGTATGGGTCTGGAATGATGAGAAATATTCCTGTCAAGCAACCATTCCATTATGCAAGAAAAGTCAGCGTCTAAAGAATCATTAGTCAATTTTAAAAAGCATACTCTTTTTTTTTTTTTTTTTTTAATTTTAGATGAGATCTTCCCAGTCCTCGGTGATTTGGAACTCATTATGAAGCCCAGGCTGGCTTTGAACTTGGAGCAATCCTCCTATGTCAGTCTCCCAAATGTCACAGGGATCACAGGCATGCACTACTGCACCCAACACAAAAGCGTGGACTTTGAGAAGGATCAAAACCATACCTGGATAAAAGTCAAACTAGCGGTATAAGAACTGATGGGTGTCTAGGGCTTACACCCCGAGGATGCTGAGGAAGCTGAACACAGCTTAGAGCAATGGCTCTCATCCTTCCCCATGCCGCCGCCACCCTTCTATACAGTTCTCATGTGCTGACTCCCACCCAGAAAATTTTTGTTGTTACTTTGAAATTTCCTCTTGCGACTGTTATGGATCCTAATGTAAATATCTGGTTTTTCCGATGGTCTTAGGTGATCTCCATGAAAGGGTCACAACCCACAGGCTGAGAATCACAAGCCTAGACCAAAAGCGCAGACCCTGAGAGATGCTTAAGAAAGAATGCTCCCCACCCCCGACCTATCACAACTGCAGATCTCAAAGTGATTATTAACAATGGTTCCGATGGGATAGCGAAGGAACTATTGTAAGTCTTCGTGTGTCTGAGGTTATCTAGACAGAACAAGCGGGAGAGTTGGTGCAGGAATACAATTGCTTCTTTTATGTCAACCGGGCCCTTAACAAATGAGACAATACACACGGGGGACAGGGGAGTAAGGAGATAAAACTGTTCCATTCTTTCCCCAAAGAATCCACATATTCAAGGCTCCTAGAACGATGGCTGAAGACAACGCCTACATGTCTCACTGAACTTGGAGAAGTCAAGCTGGAGCCTAAGAACTAGAAGAATGTTTGCCTGGTATGAACTCAAGTCCTGGGTTCAGTTCCCGGCACCACATAAACCAGGTGTGGTGGGTGGCACACAGCTGTGGTCTCAGCGCTCAGGAGGTAGTGGGAGGAGTTTAAGGCCATTTAAAAATAAACAAATCCAGGAAAAACTGCTCTCCGCAGCGGACAGCAAAGCGAGGTTTGGCAGCACACACCTGAACTGCATCTATACGGGAGGCGTTGAGGCCCTAAGTTGGTGGCCAGCCTGAATGTAGCCAGAATCTGTCTCAAAATAAAAATCAAAAGGGGCCAGGCCCCAAGTGGAGCTCCAGGAGTCCAATTGGCGAGAAAGAGGAGGGTTTGTATGAGCAAGAATTGTTAAGACCAAGGTTGGATAAAGCACAGGGACAAATAGCCAAACAATGGAAATACATGAACTACGAACCAATAGCTGAGGGGCCCCCAGCTGGACCAGGCCCTCTGGATAAGTGAGACAGTTGATCAGCTTGATCTGTTTGGGAGGCCCCCAGACAGTGGGACCGGGACCTGTCCTTAGTGCATGAGCTGGCTGTTTGGAGCCTGGGCCTATGCTGGGACACTTGGCTCAGCCTGGGAGGAGGGGACTGGACCTGCCTGGACTGAATCTATCAGGTTGAACTCAATCCCCAGGGGAGTCTTTGCCCTGGAGGAGATGGGAATGGGGGGAGGGAGGAAGGTAGGGGGGGGGGGAGAACAAGGGAATCCATGGCTGATATGTAAAATTAAATTAAATTATGAAATAAAAAAATTAAAAAATAAATAAAAAATAAAAAGGGGCTGGAGATGTAGCCCAATGGCCGAACACTTGCCTAGTAATCCCCAGAATTAAAGGGGGGAAACGCCAAGCAGAGACAGAATAAAGTGCGTGCCAGAGTACCATGGAGAAAATGTTAAAAAGGAGGGAGAAAGCGGAGCCAGAGGAAGACGGCTCAGTGGTTAAGAGCTCTGGCTGCCGCTCCAGAGGGTCTGGCTTTGATTTCCAGCACCCACATGGTGGCTCACAACCCTTTGCCACTCCAGTTCCAGGGGACCTGAGGACACTGCACACATGTGGTGCGCAGGCACACACGCCAGCAAAACCTCCATACACGTAAAATAAACTTAGAAAAAAAGAACAACTGTGTTTCCACACATGTTCTGTGCATGCAGAAACCATCTGTAAAGGGACAGTGAGAATAACAGCTTGACTCCACGACGGGAGGGGGCCAAGAGCCTTAACGGAAGAAGAACTTCATCACTTCTCACTGGAAAAAAAGGTTCTCACGTCCAATTTATGACTACAGAGGGGGGGAAAAAACCAACCAATTAAATTCCAAACAAGAAAATGGAAAATGAAAATGAACGAAAGCTTAAATTAATGAAACTGATAATGAAAGTAGGGGGAAAAAAAACTAAGAAAAGCAAAGAGCTAGTGTTTGGGCAGATCACTAACTATACTAATACATCTCTAGCAAAACTGTGAAGAAAAAAGATACAAATTGCCAAATTAAGAACGAAACAGGGCAGGGCTTGGAAAATGGCTCCATGAGCATGAGGACCTGAATTAGGACCCTTGGCACCCATGTGAAAAGCCAGGTGTGGCGGCACGTGTCTGTAACCCCAGCAACAGGGGGTGGGGACATGAGGATCAGTTCAATTCTGACACCATCTACCTGGCAGACAGGCTGAAGACTCAGTCTCTTGGACTTGAGAAGCCAGCTCCAAGAAGTAGGTAGGTGGTTAACATGTACATCTGACTGGCTAGAAATCGGGAGTCCCTGTAACTCCCTCCATGGATCTGACCGACTCACAGAACTTAGGGAAACTATTTATGGTCACACATTTACTCATAGTGGACACAATGAAGGAGACAGATGAATAGAGGGGTGTGAAAAAGATCCACAGGATCTATGTGAGAATGGGCACAGAGCTCTTACGCCCTCCTTAGGCAACGAGTATGTCCAGCCATCCAGAGGCTCTCAAACTCAGTTCTCTGGAGTTGTATGAAGCTTCATTACGTACACATGATTGATTAAGTCATTGGACGCAGGTGTCTGACTCGACCTTCGGCCCCTCTTTCATGCCCCAGGCTGGGGACTGGAGCTGCAAGTTCCAACTGAACAGACTAGGCGCCCTGGGCCCACTGGCAACCAGCTTCCATTCTGAGGTTACCCAGGAGCCCATCAAGAGTCGCCGCCTCCTTAGAACAATAGATGCTAAGCATAAAAACAAGAGATTCCCCTAGTGCCCACAGCTCATAGAAACTGCCAGGGATGAGGACACAGATCAACATGCATACGCCACCACCGCCTGGCGCTCACCGTTATTTTTAAAACTCTTCCCATTATTTCAAATATGCATCCTAAGCTGAGGACGGCCAACACAATGTTCAGGGTGCCTAGCTACAGCTTACACATTCTGAATCCTAAAGACTTAGCATTTCTCCTTAAATTAACCTCCCTCACACTTACGATGATCCTTGATCTTAAATAGCCCTTCTTTTCTCAGTATTTAAAACTCTTCAACTAGCACTGGAGAGACAGCCCAGTGGTTAGAACACTGACTACATTTCCAGAGAAGCCAGGTTCAATTATCAGCATCCACATGACAGCTAACAAGCATCTGTGACCCCAGTTTCCAAGGGATGTTAAGACCTCCTCTGGCCTCTGTGGTTACTGCACGCACACATGCAAGCAAGACACCCATCACATAAAATAAAAATAAGTCGCCAAAACATTTTAAAAACCTTCTTTAACTGTATTTATATATTCTCTCTCTCTTAATATTTTATCATAATAAAAGATTAAAGAATAACAAAGGATATTTTGTAAATATCTT